TTTTCTTTTATCACTGTTATCAATCTCATATATTCTGCGACATTTTTTCGACATTCTTGAACGTAACGGCGCATTATATAGTTGTTATCGCTTTTCTTGTAGAAGTAGTTGAGGATAAAATCAATTATCAAAGTATCTTTATGAATACTTCCCATTTCCTCAGTCTTATTTTCATAATTTTCCAATTCTTTAGATTCGCAAATATCTTCTATTGTATAACTGAAGTGCATTAAGTCCTTAATCACAATACTAAAATAATATTTTAAATAAAGCAACCCTAGGTAGTTCACACGTATTGCATCAACTTCTGGTGATTCTAATAATGATAGTTCGTTTGCAGAAAAGTTTATATTTGGAATATCTCCAACCAACACGGTGAAATTATTAAGTTGATAATATGTGAATTCTTTTATATTCGACGTGACTCGTGCTTTATCTGACACACTAGGTACTATGAAACCACAAAATGAAACAGTTTTGAATCTATCTGCAGCCTCTATTGGATTACCCATCATCGACGGCCACTTATTGTATGAATTCAGCAAAGTTTTATACGCATTACTATCATCACCCATAACTACAATTAATATACGGCCGTTAGTTTCTGTCAACAATGGATGAAGAACATCGTCAGTAATCTCACTTAACTTCAAGATCCTTTTTTAAATATTATGACTTTCTGCATAACAAAGCCTGCAGGTCAAATAGTTCCTGAGCACTGGAACTATTAAGTTGGCTTAGATTTTCATTTTCTTCAATTGTGTTTTTAACCTCACTTTGCACAGTTGTTATAGTAGGTTTTATCCTAATGTGAAACAACTTCAAGCAAAATCTAATATCATTGTGTATTGTAATGATGAAAGATTCCCCTTCCATTTCTAGTTTATGGGGTTCATCCTATTTTTGATGGGCAGACACAATAATTCAAAACATCAGGAAAATAAGAGTACGTCATGTATAATTAGCTTGTATTATATGGAAGAAAAACGGTCAATTTTTTCTAGACTACCCATATATCGATCACATATTTTCATTTTAGAAATATGGTCATCCACTCGAGGTTCGTACATGGTAGGATGAGATTTGGATGTGGTTTGCTCTGGGTACTGGAATGGGTTGGCTTCTGGTGAAATTCGGCTACACTCAGTCAAAAGTTTCAGTATATTACAGATACCTACCAATGCCTATCTGTACATACTTATTTTCCCTATATTTTCGTCACAATATTTTTTTTTGTTAAAGGGTTCTAAATAAGGCGAAGAAGGGTAAAAAATTGGAATCCTTGAAGGGAGCTACATCAAATTATTAATTGCACTAGGTCCATTTGTTTAAAAATGACCAAAAGACACTTTCTATGTTTTGCTTAGGGTATACATATACTGGATGTGATCTATGTAACCGCTAAAATACCATGAAGTTTTACCAGCAGATATTGAGTGCAGTAATTCCACCAATGTATATCTCAGCGATCTACTTGTATTTAGCCACAAGGAAGAGGTAGTAGAGACATCATTTCAGGCAAAGTTATGCATTTCTGTTTGTTGTCCATATTATCCCTCTGTTTCCTCAACAATCAGAGATTTGCTCTTAAATGCATGACCCTGAGCTTCTATTCTTTTTCCCACTTTTGTTGGAACATAGAAAAAGTTGTTCTTAGCGGTAAACGATATACCCAAAAAGAGCGATAATAAGGTTACCTATGAAATAGAAAAGAATAAGAAACTAGAATTTCATATCTAGATTACAGAGAGATGAGCTAAGATACACGAGAGATAAGGCTACTAACGATGTACAACCTTCTCATGGAAAATCATGAAACAGCGATAATTTTCCAGGTTAAACTCTACATCAGTTTTGGGTTAACAGATCGATGATAGCTTTATTAAAATTCTATATATAACATAAACAACTAATCAAATCCAATTAACGTTCACTCTGCTAGTGTAATAAAGATCTTCACGGATATAGCGTTGAAAATATTTCTATTTTTGTGATTTTGAGTTTTATCTCAAAATCTACATAACAATATGTGGTATTACAAAGAGTGTGATTTTCTCTTCGTTCTAGATATCTATGTTGATGATATTCTTTGCCCACACCAACTATCCTAGACTGCAACTATTGCAGTTGAGTTACATTTCCCCACTACTTGGAAATTGAAAAACTCTTCCATTAACAGGAGATATATATTATAATTTTGTTTTAATTCAGTTCTCACATTATCATATGTAAAACAACTAGTAGTAACTGATTATTCGCCTCCCTTTCTATAGCATTCCTACATACATAACTTATTGAATATTTCAAAACCGATTTTCGAAGCGAAGATATCCGTAACTTTCAAAGCATCTTAGTGGCCTTTATACGATTCAACTGCATGTCATTTTTTATCATCAGGATTCATACCGTAAAGTATAGTGATGTTTTATTTATCTATTTGGAGCTTCACTGCCCGCTAAAGAGTAAATACATATTTGCCCTAAATTTAGTGACAGGAAGTAATAAATGGAAAGCAAATATATTAACAACTGCAGCTTAATTTTTTGGTAATAATAAAACAATTTTAGAAACTAGTAGCATTGTTTGTACAGTTTATCATTCAATTTGTTGCATCAAGAAGTTCATGGTACAAAATCGACACTGCATTTTCTTGCAACATGTTTTCATATGTATATTTATGGGACTACTTCAGAGTAGTAACTTTCGTTGTATTTATACACACGTTATAATTGTCTAACCAAAATGTTACATTTTCTATTGTGGTTGGAGGTAATTATTTTCAAGGCCCTCTTTTGTTGATACTAGTTTTCTGCCGATACCCTTCAGATATGAATCTCGCAATATTTCAAATAATTCCTTAGTTACGACACCACTATTAATTTTGTGTTCTAATATGTCAAAGCTATATCCACTTGCAGGCCTTCTATCTCTATTTTGTTTCAGTTTGACCCAAAATATAACTGGCTGGGACATATATTCCAAAAACTCTATTGATGATATTGCTTTACCTATGGGATTTATTCTCAATATATCTACAAACATATCATAAACGTGTGAATTATTCACATCCTCAAACCCAACAAAAATCATTGGGACGTTCCAAAATCTGTGGCTATTTAATACCACTTTCGCATCATCTTTAACAGCTGCAAATTTGATTGGCTGTAATAAAATAGGGTCTATTTTCTTAAAATTTGACTGTTTAATGAATATTCTTTTCCCATAGTATGATTCATCTTCTATCGCATTCTTTAATTCAGTTGTACCATCACCTGTGTAGTCAAGAGAATTTTCACCGAACAAGATAAAAACAGATTCGCTTGCTTCGTTCCCACGCACAATAATTGTTGGATAGTCTTGACGACCATCAGGAACTTCACATATCCATTTTCTAAACCACGGTGCTTCCTCGACAACTTTTAACATACTTTGGTTTTCAATTCTTACACCTTCCCAGTATTCTGCTAGCACTGGCTGTGATGAAAGCGTAAGTGACATCTGAAGACCATATTTATCCTCATCTTCATTACCTACTTCATTTGTTGGACTCCATAATTGCGAGATCCAGTTGAACATTCTGGAATGATTCGATATACTATTTTGCGAAACCCTTTAGTTCCTAAGATATTATAACATTACATTCCATCTTCATTCCTCACAAGACCGTAATCTTTTTAAATGCGCTCTCATCATTTAATCCTGAAAAAATATTTCATCAAATTGAGGAGATATTATTAATTTGAAATAGCGCCGCTTCTCCCTCTTTGCTACCCATTTTCTCCAAAAAAAATATCGCCATTTAAGACTGTGACTTGTTGCAACAAAAGGAACAACTTGAGGTAATGGCGTTTTAATTCTTTAAAAGTTTCAAAAAGTTAAGTTCCGCTGTTTTATCTTTCTTACTGATAATCACTTATCTTCACAAATATTGAACTATGAAGGCCTTGTGTTTTTCGACCTTTCATATTGGTCCTCCCTTGATCTAGATTCAAGATATAATGCTTCTAAAATTAATATACAAGGATTTGTAAAACAGGTATGAAATGCAATGGCACATTTATTCCCGCAAAATGAATTGCTTGACTCCATTCATCATTCCAGAGGAAACAACATTAACTGTTGAAATATTAGCCTGTTGTGTATTACGAATCTGTGAAGCTAAAAATTATAGATAGCTCTTGGCCTTGAGATAAATAGTATACATTAATAAAGATAAAAATAGAAGGACAGGGTGACTGTGCACGCACTACTACGATATTGTCGAAAATTGGAGAAGATCAAAAAGAAATATACACCTACCTAATAAAAATATTTAATTTTACAAATATTTCGTTAATGCGCTGTTTATGTAAAGGATGTTTTCCATTCAAAAACTTTGGAATAATTTATCTGAACCAATTATATCTATGTGATCACCTTTCAGAAATAATTATTGGTATGATGCATCATTTCTATTTAATCCCTGTCCAAAATGAAATCATTTGTTGTCACTTCTTTATCTCTTGTAGATAATTTGTTACAAAAGTTTTTCCTCATTCACTTCTATTTTTTCTTTGGTTATTATTCTGTCTTTTGCTAAAACCTTAGAATGTGTATAAGGCAGTATAAAGTCAGGTCTAAAATAGGCAGCCTTTTTTTGATAATATCATCTTAATACAAAATAAGGTAATAAAATTCAATAAACAAAAACAATTTATATTATCACAATCAAATAATCATGGAAAACTTGACCACAGCACTATATGTTGTTGAAAATGACTATAACGTAACTCATTTGGATGTAGATAAAAACGTTACTTTGGATTATTTAAATAACTACAAAAAGTCAAAAAATATCAATTACTTTTGGTTTACATCAGACAATGAAAATTCACCGCATTTATCCATAATATTGAAGATTGCAAATCTTGAGGTGGATCACCTACCAGAGCTAAGAAAGAAAAATTACAACCCAGAAAATACTGCCCTACCGAATAACGTTATGTTTTTAAAATTCGTTTTGCATCCCAAGAGAATTAATGGAAGTATTCTAAACAAAGAAAACACTATATTAGTATTTGTATTTGGGAATTTGATAATCACTTTTGGAGTTCCTATGGTAAAGTTGAAATTAAATGCTGCGATGTTAGAGGCCATCAAAAGGAAAAAATTCTCGAGCAAACAATTTTTACAGTCGATCAATACTGTAGTTCAAAACCGAAGCTTAGTCAACATATGGATATGGTGGAGGAAAGTGAATGAAGTCAGAAAAATTGCAGAAGAAAAAATAAACTTAGAGAATATAGCAATAGATAATCTAAAATATGACAGGTTCACTGGATCTTTAATGAAATTCGTTAACATCTTCAGAGAGCCACGAGCTCCTCTGAATAATGACCATGACCCTGATTGTAGTAAAATTTCAGAGGCCCCAGGAAAATATGAGGACGAAGCAATGGTTTTTGCTACGCATTTTTCTGCTGTTTCAAATAACTTAATGCAATATTGCAAACAAAGTGTTTTTGAACGTCAGTTGGTAACTACATTTCAACAGGTTCAAAATGTAAATGCCAAAATAACCGAAACGCTCCGTGAGCTACGCATGGTCCAGGCAAAGGGTCATCGTAGTTCAAATTTTATTCATTTTTTTTTATCGAAGTTAATTGAAACAGCTAATGCTCTTGTTTCTGAATTAGTTGCTAATGAATTGAGCACAACCCGCTGTATTCTTTTAGTAACTATTTTTACTATTTTCTTCATTTTCAAATGTATACACTTTTTGAAAACTAGCTAAATTTTATACTTATTTATATTTCAATCCTCAGTTTATATTCCATTAAAATCATTATAGCTCGTGATTCAGAATGTTATAAGCGTCAATATTTATTTTACTTTTAATGATTGAAAGGAAGAGTCACCTTTATGTGCATCAACTGTAATCTCTTAATCTTTTTACATTCTTTTTTTATAGTTTTCGTTTCATTGGTTTGGATTTGCTATTGAATGACCAAAATGCAAAGAAAGGAAAACAAGAGTATATTCAACGTGGACGTTACGTATTACTTGTTATTTCAAAGTGGTCTTTTTTTGCTTGTCTTGTCTGATTTTTTCCAAAGATCTTTGATAACTAAAAACAACACCTCACGCTAAATATGAACCAGATTGAACTACCTAGCATTAATAGTTGTGTGGTAGACGATAGAAATTTTGACCCCATACAGGTAACGGTGATCGTTGGGAGGTTAAGAAGAACACACATGTGAGTAACAGTGATAAGTCTACTAATTTGGACTAGATTGTTTCTAACTTAAGGTAGCTACTACCCTAATATATCTTGGGTTATTACCCTTCTACGTTACCAGTAGTAGCGTCAATTATAGTAAAGACAAACAATATCTAATTTAGTTGATTTCCGTTTTTAAATCAATCGTATTTGTCATCCCTTCCATCCTTACATTCATTCGCTTTATATATTTCTGTCCGTAGAGTATATAGTACCAAGATATAGAAAAGGCAGTTTTTTGGCTGCAAACAACAGACTCCTCACCAATAGCGATAATAATATGAACTTTAGAAAAAGATATGTAGCGGAGTTAATAGAAAGTGTAGTGAATATTCAAGAATACAGAGCAATGGGTAACAACGGGCTAGGCACTAGACCTCCTGAAACCAAGACCTAATTTATTTTGCATATTCAACCTTCTTCCAACCTCAAGAGAACATGGGTAATCTTTACTCATAGAGTGTGTACTGTAGGGATTGAAATTAAGATAAGAACTGTTCTGTTGAATTTTAATCCTAAGCTTAACAGAACTTATTTCGATAATTTAGAGTATTTATTGGTTTCATCATTCTATAGTAATACATTCAATAACTTATTAATTTAAAGTTCGTTCATTTAGAATTATACTACAATATTTGGTTTGATATATGTTTTAGAGTTTGAGTCTTAATTAATCATGAGTAAATCACTGGTCTTACGATATATAGGATTTATTGAATAAAAAAATCCCTGGTATGCTTTTCATAACAATCGATTGATACACAACTACGTAAATTGATTAAACGCTGTTTGCGATCGACCTGTACTATTCCAGCGAGTACCTCAAACATCTCGAAATTCCAGTTCCTGAAAAAATAAGGAAAACCCGCTTAGCAACGCAGAGAGATGCAGAAAATGAAGCGTAGACTATTTTTTTGCCTACATGCTTGTTTACCCACTCCTTAATTTGGTAGTCATGGAAATTTGGCTCTCACTTGCCTTAGTAGTGTTTCTTCTATTTTTAAGTCTCGTAAAACTGGAAAAATTGCAGCATCAGCTACTGCTCAAGAAGAGAAAGAGACAAAGCTGGAAGGGCTCCCCGGCTCTAGTAGCAACATTTAAAACTGCAAATCTCCCTGTTATTTATAAACTAACGTCAAATTTATTAAACTACCGTTAAATTATACATCATATCGACACTGAAGTTATTTCTTGATCAGTGCTTGAGCAAGCAGAGAAAATAGCATAAAGATTTATAAAGCTGAGAATAATTAGGCTCTTTATTCACTTCAAATTTTTCAGTATTAGAGCCAAGTATGGATCTTATACTGTTTTATGCATACTGTGTGATGGGTGCAATATTTTCTATGTCCTCGTATGTTTCATTTAGGATGCTCGGTAAAGGTTTGAAGGAGACCTGTGCAATGTTATTCTATTTTGGGATAATACTTGGCGCTTGTATTCTTACAGATAATTTAGAGGACAAAATTCTTACCTCCAATTATGTTACTGAGCATACAGTGTTTGATATACTGACGAAGCACAGAACAGTTGTTCATTACGTATCTCTGTTCTTCACATCCACTGTTACAAGTTATATGTTTACGCCAAGTTATATTTCATTTTTAATATTCATCGGTAAGAAAATAGATAATACTCAATCATATTCAGAAAAGAGAGAGAAATCGTTATCTGTATGAATGAAGTTATAAATATATAGAACTGTTTTAGCTGTATTTGTGTTGTATAATTGTGATAAACTGAACTTGGCATTCTGTCTATTATAACGTTACAACTCAGTAATTTTAAGTAATACTATGTATAAACAAAACTACATAGACGCAACCTCTTTCATTAAAATACGTATAAACAACAAAACTTTTAAACTTATTGCAAATTTGTACCCTTTATCGGTATTTAGTCTTAATTACGGAACGATTGTTGAAACGTTAACTTGAGCACTCGGGCTGTTATTTGTCAATATCTAATACTAGTAATTCAATCCTACATAATTATACTCCCCCTTTTTTCTTCGTACTACACTAATTTGTACGATAAACTGATTTTAACTGCGAGCCAACCATCTATAATCCTTAAGTTGATCTTTTACCTTTCCAATTTTGAGAATTTTTCACAAACAATATACTCTTTGGGCAGGACACACTTTTCATAATTGTAACCCCCAATCGTTAAATTTCGTTAAGAATTCTTTCTATGTAGAATCAATAACAGGAACTTGCAAGGTTCTGGTTTACTGTCTTCGTTGAACCATTTCTGTATTGTGCTTAAAATTAAATTTTGAATTATATTTCCCAATACAAACATACTAGGAAACTCTCAAACTGTCAGCAAATGTACCTTACACCTGTCATGTCGCAATATAGCACTCTCGGCTGTGTTTCTTACCAATAGGGCGCGTCATTGAAACTATTAGTAACGGTAGCTCCATCACAATCCAGCATTCAAATTTAATTAGTTAAAACCAATACCAAGTCCAACCGTGGCTTAGCATAATTATTTTGATTCCCAAGTTTCAGTTGTATTAAATAGTGAGGCCAGTATAGTGAATTTCACGGCTTCCAATATCGAAACTATCTAAATATATGGATGGAATAACATGTTTATTACTGCTGAGACTAAGATCCAATAAACGGCTACCGATTGGAGGACTCCGATGTATTTTTTCTTTTTTATCCAACCTTATAGTACCTGAATCAACGTATAGTATTTTATATGCAGTAACAAACAAAAATATATTCAAATATATGGTTCGCATTCTCTGGAGGTTTCCAAGTTAAAGATGGGGTATTCATTAGTGACTTTCTTAATAATTATATAAATTTTTCATTTGTAATTAATTACTTCAGAAATTTTATTATTTGAATGTTTTAGAACTGAAGCCCCTCCAAATTGACTTTGTTTTGTTTTGTATGTATTACCCTCATATTAAGGCACAAAGAAACATATTGATGCAAAATGAACAGAAGACTATACTGATATCAGGCGTCTTGGATTCTTCTTAATTCTTAGCATGTTGCTCATGATGTGGGTTCAACCTGCAGTGTGGGCCTAGCTTCTGTAGTGAGGGAACATATGTACTTTCGTAAGATAATTTTTTTACGGTGGTGAATAGAAATACTCTCTTTAAATGTTAATTATTGTAAATTCCCGAAGTAAGCAAAAGCAGGTTGATACTTCTATTGTTTTATTCTCTGTTTTTTAAAAGTTTTTTTGTAGCATTTCATCAACGGTAGACAGATGGTTCCATACATTAACTTAAAAAAGGATTTATGAGTAAATTATCCACCATAATTCAATTCAGATTTTCTTGGAATCAATGAGTATAATTGGGTCGGTTACAGATACAAACAATGACTCTCTCAATAGCACCCAATCTATTACTTGTAACCCCGGGATGGGAGTTCTTTTTAGTCTAATAATTGGAACATTCGGCAGTGTTAATAGATTAGGAAAGAATATGAACAGTGATGCTCTGATCTGAGAAATTAATTTCAACGCACATAATATCGTTGAACAAAACTGAAGACTTTTATTTGGTAGATCATTGCGATAATTAAAATTATTTAATGTGCTTAAACCTGTTACTGAGATATTACATTTAGTATTCGTGTAGTTAAAAGTACATAAAATGAAGATGGATTGCTATGGGTTTATATTTATGATCCGTCACATATGTGATATCATAAATAAATCAGATTTGTGTAACAACAATATCTTAATTAATACTGCTAACATTCATTATTTATGTAAAGAATTCAGGGTGTAATTTTTGATATCCTGAGGTCGCTTAACTCTTTATGTTTTTTGGTAAATTTAATTTCCGCCATTCTTAAATATGAAAATTGATCAATTATTTTAAATTATATAATATACGAACTTATAAAAACTTCAAAAATTTTTATATAAAAATTTATTAATTAGGCTTTGAAGACAAGACCGAGAAGTTGTTAACCGAAAATGGACCCTACTTCGTTTATTAGGGGTATAAATATAGGTTCCTTTGGGCTCTCGGGTGGTCGTTCTACGTCCGGAACCTTAACAATGACTGTGAGGTCTTTCATGTGTCCACCCACCATGTCTAGTGTGAACCCACGGTTTACGGCAAGCGCACTTAGATGGTTGCGGTTTGTGAGTCTTACATGGATGTTTAGAGACGGTAGATGATGAATGACAAGGAGTCAATGTCTTAGTAGAACGTGAAGCTGATTTAGAGTCAGAAGACACAATAACGGATGTTAATGTCGTACTACTTTCATATAAACCTGAGGTAGAGGACACAATCGAAGAACCGGCATCAGAAGTAACAGTTGAACTACCCTCATATGAACCTGAAGCAGAGGACATAACAGAAGATTCTACACCAGAAGTAACAGTTGAACTACCTTCATATAAACCTGAGGTAGAGGACATAACAGAAGAACCGGCATCAGAAGTAAC